TTGGCCATTGTAGAGTTGAAGGTAATTCCGGTGTCTTTGACGCTTCCAGGGGCCACGATGTTAACTGGACCATGGATTGAGGGTGTGTTGATCACGTGTTCAATGGCTCGGGCAGTGTCGTGTACATGTACCCATGGAAAAGGCTGGGATCCGTCACCAATTTTTCCACCCGCACCTAAACCAAATTTACTTGAAATTGGAGAGCTATGATCAGAGATAGTGTTGCGTTATAATTTGAATCAAGGTTCATCTGTTGAAAACTTTCAGTACCAAAGACTGTTATTGTTCCCGACTGTCGGATAAGGTCCGATAAACATATGCTTGCGTTGGTTTTTTATTCAACCCACATTTCTAAAGAAAGTTATAGAGTGGAAATTGATCCAGGACCGAACTTTCAAGACCATCTAAAGGACAGTCAGAACTCTCACGGATCTGCCTTGATTTAAGAGCAGACTTGTTTTGTGTACTTGAGAGAGAAATAAAGCTAAAAACTTTTATCACTATTAATTTATGAAAGTAGAGAATAGACAAAGAGCAAAGCAATGCCCACTAGACGCCTATCCTGAACACATTTACAAGGCAAAAAAAAAACAGATAGATTAGTTAAAAATATACTAGCACGTAACGCACCTCCGGTACTCACAAACCGCATATATTGAAAATAAGATCTGCATTCTTTGAGTGTGCTTTGACAACACCCAACTACAGGGTTCGTAATTACAAATTTTGCAAAGTTTTTTCTTCAAGTTTTTTTATACAAAATTTGAAGAACCATAAAATTTTGTGAAGTTTTATATCAGTTCTTCGAAAATTTTAAAATGAACTAAGAAACGTCACATCTGGGAAACTAAAAGCAATTGAACAGTCGCATTTGGACGCAAGATTTGCAACTCCTGAGAGTACTTTTACAGTACCCATCTATAACGTTGGGAAATTCAAACTTTGAGAAACTTCACCTTAAGTTTTCTAAATTAAGTATTTTTTTTTTGAAAACCAGAAAAAATTTCTGTCGATAACTACCAAAAATTGATCAGTCTTATTTGATGGCGATATTCGCAATCGTTGAAAGTACTGTGAAGAAAAAAAAAAATCACAAAAATCGTCGTATCTCTTAAACTAAAAACTTTGAGCATTCTTAATTGGAGGCCGAAATTGCTACTCCTGAGATTCCTCTGATAGCCCCCAACTTAAGGTTAGGAATTTCAAAATTTGAAAAAAAAACTAATTTAATTTTCATAAAACTTTTTTTGAAAAAACCACAAAAAACGTCACATCTGGAAAACTGCAAGGTTTTGAGCAGTCATATTTGGAGGCAAAATTAACAAATCCTGAGAGTACCCTGACAGATCCTCACTACAGAGATGGTAATTTCAAGTTTTATAAAAAATTTATATCTATGTTCTCTAAAAAATTTTGAGAAAATCCTAAAAAAACGTCATATCTCGAAAACTACAAGATTTTGAGCAGACATATCCAGAGGCAAGATTTAGAACCCCCTGAGAGTACCCTCAAAGATTCCAATAACAGGATTGAGATCTTCAAAGTTTTGAATTTTTCAACATCTAATTTTTTGACAGCACTCAATTACAGAGTTCGTAATTACAAATTGTGCAAAGTTTTTTATTCAAGTTTTTTATACAAATTTTGAAGAACCATAAAATTTTGTGAGGTTTTAAATGAGTTGTTCAAAAAATTTGAAATGAACTAAGAAAGGTCACATAAGGGAAACTAAAAGCAGTTGAGCAGTCGAATTTGGACGCAAGATTTGCAACTCCTGAGAGTACTCTTACAATACCCATCTATAACGTTGGGAAATTCAAATTTTGAGAAACTTCACCTCAAGTTTTCTAAAAAGAATTATTTTTTTTTTGAAAACCAGAAAAAAGGTCACATCTCGAAAACTATCAAAACTTGATCAATCTTATTTGATGGCAATACTCGCACTCTTTGAAATAACTGTGACAGCACACAACTACAGGGTTGAGACCTTCACTTTAGTAAATTATTTTGTAATTTGAGTTTTCTGAAAATTGCCAAAAAATAACGAAAATCGTCGTATCTCTTTAACTAACAGATTTAAGCATTCTTAATTGGAGGCCAAAGTTGCAACTCCTGAGATTACTCTGACACCCCCCAAATTAAGGTTAGGAATTTCAATCTTCGAAAAAAAAATTAATTGAAGTTTTATAAATTTTTTTTTGAAAAAATCACAAAAAACGTCACATCTGGAAAACTGCAAGGTTTTGAGCAGCCATATTTGGAGGCAAAATTGACAAATCCTGAGAGACAGATCCTCACTACAGAGATGGTAATTTCAAGTTTATTTAAAAAAATTATATCTAAAATCTCTGAAAAATTTTGAGCAATTACTAAAAAACGTCATATCTCGAAAACTACAAGAATTTGAGCAGACATATCCAGAGGCAAGATTTAGAACCCCGTGAGAATGCCTCAGATTCCAATATCAGGATTGAGATCTTCAAAGCTTTGAATTTTTCAACATCTAATTTTTTTTGAAAATTTCAGAGAAAATTAAAAAAAACGTCTTATCTCGAAAACTATAACGATTTGAGCAGTCATATTTGGAGGCAAAAATCTCAACTCCTGAGAGTACCCTGAAGGAGCCTCACCACAGAGATGGGAATATCAAATTTTTTTTGAGAAATTTTTTATAACTAAGTTTTTGAAATTTTTTCAAAAAATCCTAAAAAACGTCATATCTCGAAAAATACAAGGATTTGAGCAACCATAATTAGAGGCAAAATTTGCAACTCCTGAGAGTACCCTCACAAAATTCAACAACAGGATTGAGATCTTACACATCGAACTATTGGTTTGCTAATTAGAAACTTGATGAAATAAACACTGAATTTAAACGGGAAAAACGAAAAAAAAACTTAACCATTGCAATATACGATAAAGGTTAAACGTGAAAAAAAATCTTTTGTTAAACATGCAGAACATTACATTGCAAAAGATTAAACATGGCGAGATATTGAAGCCCGCATTTAAATATATAAAAGATTTGATAGATGAAAGTTAAAAAATTAGGATACGGTTAAACAGGCATAATCAAACATGAAAAAGCTCAAACATGAAAAAACTCTTTCGTTAAACATGCGAAATTATTATGCTTAACCATGGGAGATAGCTGTCACTAGCATTTAAATATAGTATAGATATTTGAAAAAAAAACTATTTTTGTTTTTATTTATAATTTTTTATTCTTTGCCCTACCTAGTATTTAGATGTTAGTTTATTTTAGTGATTTAAAATCATGAGCATGTGCGAATTAAAAACTAACAATTTTCGGGCAAAACCATTGTGGGAAGTTAATAAAATTACAAACTACGGCAAAAAAGATTACTAGCCAGGAGAGCACCCTTGGACCTACATGTACGTTCACAGATGTCTACGAGCAGAAAGTCATGTATTAGGTTTTCAATACTGTGTGAGGAACAAAATCCAAATGTTTGAAATTAAATTATAAGACTGCTTAGCTATCAATTTTTAATGGTTTTCGCCTAAAATCGAGAAAAAGAAATTTTACTTGAAAAAAGACGAAAAAAATATGGATCCATAACTAAAAAAAAAAATTTCTTATAAAATCTTCGTTAACTGTAAGTATGTAGCAGTCTAAAAAGTGATGATTGAATGACTTCACTTTCTTGGAAATGTTTTTGTATTTCCCAGAAAAATAAAATGATAGTTTGAGATAATTTTTAACATTTTTCTTGGCCAAACAGCATTTGACTCTGGCCAAACAGCATTTGACTCATTTGAGTTTTTATGTACTCCTATTGGTTGTTTTCTCGCTGTATCCGCATCTCTAAAACTCTGTTTACTTCATTATCCGTTATGAGGTTGCTCAAAATTTGAATAGAGCTTTCACATCTGAGAATTTAAGATACTGTTTTCACTAGTTCATAGATATGGAGCTACTTAGCAAAAGAAACTTGTTTTCTAATCTTCGATTTTGCAATCATTCGTAATTGGTGCTCGTAATATAATTTTGAATAAGCGATTTACTTTTTAACCCAAAAAAACTACTTCTTTGTGGATGCGTAAGCCAAAACGCCATGCTGTAATATAGGTTGCACGAAAGTTTGTTAAGTTGTTACAAGGTGCTTGGTCGAAAGAAACTTCGTATCTAAAAAAAATCTGAAAAACTTCGTGACTTTTTCTACCGAGAACATCAACGAGTTAATCAAAGTAGAGCAGTTCATCTGTCAGAAATCCAAAATAACGAAAACACTTCTGTCGCTCAACTGGCTGATCATTCAGGATAACATTTAGCGTTTAATGTAAGCTTGCTTTTTTGTAACCATTCTGCTTTTTTGTTTAGAGCAGCCTGATATTCAGCATGCATAGTTTTCACCTGTGTACATGTCCTCAATACGGCATCTTGTGCGTAAAGAATGGATCTTTTCCTGGTTTGGGTTCATAACATGAATGAAATTTATAAAAAGCAGTGGACCAAAAATAGAGCTTCCCGTAGTTTTGAGTTAGCGTGTTAAGTGACTACAAACTGCTTCCTACGACTCAAATACAATCTAGGAAACTGACCAATCGGATCTCTTATTCCATAACACACATTTTTTTAACTGATCAACTGTATCGAATGCTTTATTCAAATCTCTGGACGCGCATTTTGTCAGTTTTCCTTGATCGTGAAAACGTGGTCTCAAATTTTCGACACATAGGCGAATCTGTGCTTCGCAAACTCAATCAAGGAAAATTCAAAAACAGTGCTTAACAGTCAAAACAAAGGGAAACAAGGAAAAGGTTAAAAACTCACCTTGCAAAAATTGTTGATTATAGGAGTATCACGCTCTTATATCTGCTCCACGACTGCTTATAATTTAACTAACACTAGTCACCAAAAAAGCAGCTACAGTTTCTATTTAATTGCTGAATTGTTGCAATCAAATTGCAACGGTCGCTTGGAAGTAAACTTGTGGCCCAGCTAATGCTGGATCTAGCTGTTCTAATATTTTAATCATATATTGTACTGATACGGATATGCAGAATTTTCAAAACTTCGAATAAGGGACTTTAGGATAAACCCTAGTTTTTCTCTGCTAAATACGGGATTAACCGCTTATTCAAAGGAAAACACTGCTACTCGCTCTTTCAATTGAAGTATTTATCTCAGATTTGGGTGTTTTTGGGAAAAGTCAAAAAGTTTTAAAAATTAACCAAAATGTCAACAACTTTTTTCTACTTGAATCAGGGAATTGCCGCTTATGAAGGGGAAATCTCTATGGTTTTTTCAATGAATTGAAAGCTTCATCTCAGATTTGTGCATTTAGCATTTGAGAAAATGATAAAACTCAAAACAAATAGCCCGAAAATCACTTTACTGAAACTTATGAAGGTCGTAGAACGTGAGGTTAAATGAGAAAAGGCTAGGAAAAAAACACTAGCAGGCACATAGAAAAGCAGCCGGCTTTTCCATTGGTACCATTGAAAAAGTGTACACTAGTGTTCGAGAAAAACTGACATTTCTGCAAAAAAAAGAAAAAAAATCAAAAGCATCGCAAAAAAAATCAAAAACAATAAATCCCTTATAGTTTCATGAAAAATGTTTTTTTTTTTCAAAACAGAACAAAATACTACCCAAAAAAGCAGCAACATATGGCCATTAAATTGTTTATGCTTAAATAAGCTTAAATATGATTAAATGGAAATATATCAAAAGTGCCACCAAATGAGCACTTTTATTTGCGACTAAGGTTGAAAAAAATTCTTTGTTATAATACAATACGCTTAGTTTGGGTACTAAATGAAACAATTGAGTCAAATGTTCCTCGACTTAACCGACAACCGAACTGATTAATGTTGAGTAAATAAAAATTTTTGGAATATAATATCATGCGGATGCAGAAAAGTCTTTACGGGAGCTTCACTAACACTGGCAGTAAGGCCATTGGTCAAAATTTGAGGGATATAAATGATTACCTTCTTTATAGACTGTAATTATTTTAGCCATTTTAGGGCAATCAGGAAAAATCAAAAAAAATCTGCAAATCATTTAGCAAATATTGGTGCAATAACCCTTTAACATTTTTCAAACAGTAGTTATTCCAAATATAAACTGAGGCGAAGCTGCGCTTCGCTAATACTTACGAGAACACGAACAAAAAGCAGCACTATTAAGTGACATAGAAAAAAGTAGAATTAAGCCACGAATTTGCAACAACTTGAGGCTTAGCAAAAACTCGAATTAGCAAAAATCTGCGACCTAGCAAATTTGAGTCTCACGAACTAACCATTCAGCCACGGATGTTTAAAATCCGCAAAAACTAGCCACCAATAATTAAGCTCCATATGCTAACAAACTGCCAATTCGATGCAGTAAAAGTAACGTCAAATACAAAAAGATACAATTTTGCATGTAAGAAATCGCAAATCATAAAGCCACATATTGTATAAATTATGCGCTTCAATAAATTGCGAAATATATTGAGTTAGAAAATTTCTGAAATCAAGATTTTATTATTGCAATGTTGTTTGAAACAAATCTCTTTCTTCGGTTCTTTTGATGAATTAAAAATGCATCAACTGTGTAAACTTATAACTATTAGAACGTCAGAGCACATGTTATCAATAAACTGTAAACGTGCAACTAATATCAAAGGTGCAAAAAATATCAAAATATCTTATTGCCAATTCGATGCAGCAAATTCGACGCAGCAAATATTGTTGCTTAAAGTCGAAACAATAATTGCGAATTAGTCGCAAAAAAGTCGCAACAGTATTTGCGATTTAGGTTGGAAGAAAAGAAAGTTCGAATATAACACATTGCTTCGCAAGTGTAAAAAGCCTGTGCTGAAATTTTTTTGATAGATTCTAATACTTTAAAAACACCCCCTTGGACAATCGGTATAAAATACACAGAAAATATGTACTGTTTTAGAGTTGAAAATCTATCATGAAAGGTGCTGGCCAGTTTTTCAGCAAAATTTGAAAAGAATTAATCAAACGCTCCAAATTCATTTCGGAAATATAGCAACAGTAGATGGCAGCAAACATATATCTTTTGCTGCCATTTATCACCCAGCCCAGCTCATTGGGGAAAAAAATCCTTTTTCTCTTTTTTCGTAAGTTTTTGATATTATGAATCATGATTTTTGTACAAAATCTAAATCTACCGAAAAAGTACTGCCACTTGAGCTGTTGTAACATTCCCCCTTCCACTCCTAGTACCAGTCCAATCCTCACAGTGGCCACCCGACACTCCTTCTTCTGCCCCTCAACCACCTCGTGTGCACTTTCTTCCCACTTGGACACCATATCAACCATGAAGTTACCCTCCAGGTCACGTGGCAATTCACTCTCCTCACTGAACAAAAACACGTACAGTTAGCCAATTGCTGACAATTGCAAAAATTTCACCATAAAACTCAGTGTATCTAAAAGAAATCTTTAAAACTTTGCTGTTCAATAGGGGAGTTTGCCTTCTTTTTAGCAAACGCACAAATTTAAAAAAAATGAAAAGTCAAACAGACAAAAAACCAAAACTGATCTTAAGTTTAAAAAAATTATAAAGACCTGTATAAGCGTCTTCACTACATTCACTGACATTTGAAAAAATACAGTTGGCCAATTGCTGGCGGTTGCTTAGGCAAATTCCTAGAATAAGCTTCTACTTTAGCCTCATTTGTGTTTGGGTAAAACAAGCTTTTTGAAGTAAATTTTCGTGTCTTCAAATTCTGTTTCACTGAGCAAGTTTTTTTACAGATAAAAAATCATACAAAATGTTCTCTTCCTTGCTTCAAATCCGAGGTATTCTCAACGCTGCGGTTGACTAAAACCAAACCAACAACCAACGGAAGATACCTAAAGGTTTTGTTTTCATTTGAAGCGTAGACTCCGACTGCTGATGCAGACACATACACACTCGGTCTGTCTTCTGCCTTCGTCTCTCCCAGAGCTTTTCCCAAAAGTTTGTTCACACCTATGCGACTGTCCAAAATGTCTTGTTTGTATTTATCATTGTAGGGCTTGACAAAGAAGGGTTTGAAAGCATTCTCGCCACAAAGATTGATGATGACGTCACTTTTGGGGAGACCCCCTCCAGTTTTCAATTCAGACCACGTGATGGTGCGAGGGAAGACCTCTAAATAAGAGCAAACAAGCTCACAGTCTTAAAAAACAGAAATCATTTAAAGCAGACGGTATTTGAAAATTGAAGTTTAAAATTTATCGAAACGAAGGTAATCAGAACTCAGATCATTCAAAAAGTAACATTGTGTTTTATTTCATAAGCGAAACATTTTCTGCATAATAAATAAATCAGCGAGCAGTAGCATGCCAAAGGGAAGCGAGGGCAACCGCCCCAGCCCCCAGCCCCCATCCCCCCCCCCCCCCCCCCCACCAATACCTCAATTCTGGTTGCCAAATCATTCCAAAGGTTCCCCCCTTTGCTATAACTTTACGAGATCCTTTTTTAATCTAATTGGTCGACCTAAAAAAAGGTGTCGACAAACTTTTCAAAAAATTTTCATACCCCCCCCCCCCCACTTAAAAAAAAACTTCTGCGCACGCCACTGTGATCAGCGAAACATTTTCTCTATATGAAGACATCGAGCAACTTCTCGATCAAAAGCAGCGAATTTCGACTGAATGAAGCAAATTGAATTACGCTCAACGGATTTTGAAGCAACGAATAAACTAACAACGATATTCGGTGGCTGTTTTATTAGCACAGATTTTAAAAAAAAGAAACAAAAACTAATTTTCTTGTTATTCCGACTGTTAGAGAAAAATGATTTACAAAGATTTAAAAAAAAAAAATAAATATGGCAAAAATAACGTAAGCAATCTACATGAAACCTGAATTAATATTCATTACACTTTACTGTATTGATGCATAGATTTTTATACAGGAATTCAAGTGTTCTTTCTTCTTTTTTCTTTAAAAATTTGAATGTCATCATCTTTGAGTTGTCAGTGTCACCAAATTTCGTGTCGTCGAACCTTTTCTTTCATTATTGTTCATCTATTACAAAATTCCACCTCAGGCCACATATACTTGCAATACAACACAGGCAGAAAAAACATAAATCGAGAAAATGAAAGGTTGAAAAAACCACGTCTAACATTTTCGTATGTCTCGATAAAAGTTCATTTTAGGCGAACACGCCAAGTAAACTTTTGAATTTTAAATTAGCAGCGGAAAAAAAACTTACGAAACAAAGCCGGCAATTTTCGAGTAGACATTAGTTTACCCGAAAAAAAAATAAACAATTTTAAAAAAAGTCTCCCCTGAAACTACAAGAAACAATACTTGCATTTATAATGAAATTGGCTAAAAGCACAAGGAATACACCTGATGTGGCATCTAAGCCGACAAAACTTGAGCAGACAAACAATTCTATGTTTACTGCAAAGCAATTTCACAAGGTCCGGATGGGACACGAGCCCCAGACCTTGGAGGGCAAAAAAGACCACGCTACCTCTAGGCCAAAAGGGAACGAACATGGATGTTGTTACAAGACACTTGCTCTCGCAATTGTTATGAATCTCAAACGCCTGTTATATACCAATCAATTAAGTCGGTTATAACTCAATAATTTCACAGAACACCAAATTTTTGGGTTATAATTTGTACAATTCTGTTGAAAAGACAAAACCAAGCAATTGGCAAGATCGGTTGCCTGAAGAATCTTAATCGGTTGAAAATACTAGATTTTACGTTAATTACATTTTTTTACCCAATTTTAACTTGACTAAAGGACTTAAGATATTGGTTTCCGACCTCAAAATGAAACGTTATAGAATATGTTAACTCAATAATTCATTAACCGCTTATTGAAAAAACTGGTTCCTGACCTCAAAACAGAATATTATAGATTGAGTTAACTCAATAATTAATTGACCGTTCATTGACTCTTTTCCAACAGACAGATGGAAAAAAGTCAATAAACGCAATTAAACAGAAAAAAAATCACTGATTGATTTTTGAAAAACCTCAAATTTCGGATCAATAGTGGAGAAATTAGGAATCAATACGTAACATTTTTATCTCTGGGAAATCTGAACACAGATGCGAAGTTGCACTTCGCATACACCAGCAAAAACATGACCGATAACGCTTACTGGGAAAAATGAATTAGTAAAACTTTGTTCATAACTTCTTAAGTGACGCACGCCATTTATGAGTCTACATAATTACTTAGTGACACAATCCAATTATGACGCGTTAGCAGTACCAGTCAATTTGAAAAAAAAAAGAAATTTACCAACTAACATGCCTCAAATTATAGAGCGGACGCATTTTAACTAGTATACTAGTATACGAAAAAAATCATTCAAAACATCCGACCCTGCCCAAGTTCGAACCCTCTTATTTTGTTGCGGGCCTCCTTCCCTACTTCTACGCTGCAGATCCATGATGCTTTGAAGCTAAAGTGCTGATTGTAATATAATAGTCTGTGTTAATATCCTTAGCAGTGGCTGTACTTAATAGCTGGTTATTGATCTTATGCACATAATGCAATAAATGAACACTTTCAAAATGAACACTAATATTTGCGCTTTAGGTTGGAAAAACGAGGGTTCATACTATCACACAAGAGTTGATTGTGTAAAAATATATTCCATTTACGAAATTAGAAGCGGATCACGTTTTTCGTGACCTTTTAACGTTTGCTCGTCGATAGTTGAAATTGCCTTCCTTTTAACAAAGGAAACAAACTGAACTTGAAAAGAAATCAGAAGTCGAACCGCTAAAAAAAGTAGCCTGAACAAGTTTTAAGACCTTTCGTAAAAAAAGTAAAAAAATCATCGCGACCAATATACAGTGTCTTAAGTTCATCGACTCTTAAAAATACTGGTTTCCCATCTCAAAATGAGAAGTTATTGATTCATTGACAGTTCAGATTCATTGACTGAGAAGAATATTGCCAAGAATTTAGCATTAACTTAAAATTCAGTTCAACTTACTGGCAGTTCTGGACAGAAGGGTGACTGAGTGTCCACTCTTGGATAAATACTCATGGAGATGTTTGCCCAGAAAGCCACTGCCAGCCACAATCACATTCATCGCTTGTTCACTCTCTCACAGCAGATAACAGTTGAAAATCAGGAGGTCAAATTAAGTTCAAACCATGTTCAGGTGAGATCAATGAAAGATCTGAAAAATTAAGCCCAATTATCCACGATGGAAAAACCCAGCATACGATAAGCTCATTTTTGTACCACGCACACTTTCCAGGCGCTAAAAAAACAACTTGCCGCAAAAAAAGAGCTTCACTCAACAAAATAACCTAGTCTGCAATATAGGGAAATAATAGAAACTGACTATGCTCAGAAAATCCTGATAGCCTTCAACAGATCCTTTGCGAATCGCGAAAATCTCAATTTTTATTATAACTTCTTGGAAACCCCCCCCCCCCCCAGCCAATTAGGGGAGAGGATAGGAGCTTGATTCTGAATTCCAATTTTCAGGCGATCAGAACAAAGCAATTCAAATTGAACGCTGGTGTGGAGGATGTTAACTTGATTTAATTTCTTTCAGGAGATCCGATGTTGTGCCCCAGCTTAGGATTGAAAATCTTGCTTTATTCGTTAGCAACAGCAGTGGATTAGGAAAACATACTCAATCGAAGATTGAAAAAGAGTAATGAACGCAAGTAAACATGAAAAAAAAACACTTCGTTGAAAAAATCTCAAATTTCGAATTTCAAAGAAAAAAAATAGATGCCCTATAAGCTCTTTGAATTTCTAGAACGATATATGACCGGCGCTTTTGTGATAACAATAACCCAACCAGAGAAAACTGGATCAAAAGGTAAAGTTTTTATTTCAAAGTATCGAATTTCAAAGAAAAAAAAGATGCCCTTTAAGCTCTTTGAATTTCTAGAACGATATATGACCGGCGCTTTTTTGATAACAATAACCCAACCAGAGAAAACTGGATCAATAGGTAAAGTTTTTATTCCGCTGGAAATCAAAAAATTAAATTCCACTTTCGAAATTAGAAATCTTTCACGTTTTTTGCGCCATTTCCACGTTCGTTTTTTTTTTGCTCCATTTACGTCACTTTCAACAGATGAATTTCAATTGAACTCAAAAAGTGCATTATACCTAAAGGCATTCATAAATGCATCATTATGTATGAATGCATATCTGTAGTTATTAGAGCATTTTAAGACTTGTTCCTGAAAAACAAACAAAAAATCAGCAAGACCTATATAAGAGTCTTCACTACGTTCATTAGTCTTGAAAAACTTATCCACCAGAAGAACTCATAATAAAACTAAATCCTTCTAAACGCCAATTGCTTTGTAGCGATAGGGACATGTAACTTAACACAATCTCAGGAACGATCAATTCTGGAACTTTCTTTTTTTTTCTCTTTTTAAAGTTTCTAGATTTTTGATGTTCCATAATGAAAAAAATTCACGCTCTAGAAAAACACTTCTCTTTGTTAAATGAATTACGTAACACCTAGTTATGTCACGCTAATTAATAAAAAAATTAAATAGTGTTGTTTTGGGCAACCAATAGTTTAAGTCTAATCTTCAGCATCATTTGGCGTTTCATCGATCAGGTAAGTCAAGTTTGAGGACATCACACTTTCAGCAAATGGCTAAAACACAAAAATTTCAATGAATTCAAACGATATATCGTCTACTTTCTTCTATTCAGGGTGCTTAATGAGGCATAAGATAAAACATAGCTAACATACAGTAGGAAACGAGTCAATGGACCGAAGTAAACCGAAAAAAATCTTCTTTTTGAAAAAATCCCTTTCGAAAATTTTTTTTTCGCACTTTTTTGATAAAAATAATCCAGAAAAAATCGGATCAACAAGCAATTGAGCCTGAACAAATTTTAAGATTAATCCTGAAAAAATCGAAAATCATCGCGAACTATGTAAGAATTTGAACTACGTTTCTCATTTTGCACAGCACCAAAACCTGAAGACGTCATATTTTGCAGAATTTTTGCGCACTTCCAATTCTTACAGTTGTTTCCATCTCTCTTTAATAAAATGATGGTAATCAAAATACTCAAACTGAAACACAAATTTGAAATAAAACAGCCCAGATACATTTCTTACCATTGAGGACATTCCGCCCATAATCTCAGACCCCGAGTCAATCGAATCTGCCTCAAACGACTCCAGACACGAACAGTCTTCCACCGAATCCTCCGAGTGACTCGGGCTCTCCTCTCCACTCGAATTTCCTCCTCGGAACTTCCGATGAGCTGAGCGCCCTCTCAATCTAGAGGATGAATCATATCCAAACTTGCATATTTTCCGATTAGCTTGTTTCACTTTCCGAAGCATTTTCTTTTCGTTCAACTCTGCTTTTCGTTTCGCTTTTATCTTGCGGCGCATGTAGGCTCGTTTCAGCTCCACTGCTCGGGTCAAGATCGGAGGCAGGTAGTCTTTCGGCAGATGGCACGTGTCGTCATAATACCTAAAAGAGTTGAATGACACGACTTTTTTAAACAAAGTTTTTCTTTTGCAATCTCACGTTGACTGCCTAATATCAAGTTAGAGTTCTTTTTTAAAGGAGTGAATACATATTATGTTCATTCAGCTATAATAACAGAATTCACCCGATGACTAAAACAATTTATTTGGTAGCAAAAAAGTGGTTGCAAAATAATATTCAAGATATTTCACTTAATAAATTGAACACTAACCCTGTGGGAATTGAACGAGGAATGTCTCCACAACTTTTTGATCTCCTAAATACACAACATATCAATCTGATTAATCTCAGTTTCCTTTTCCAATTCGCAATTTAAACACAAACTTAGACCATCATTATAGCGATAAAATCTGACTAACTTGAACTTAGAGTGTCTATAGAAACTCTGAACTTCATATACTTTGCATCCTTTCTTGGACAAACGCGGGATACTTTTGTTGATTTTGGGCACGAAGTTGTGATCAGGAGGAATGAAGGGGAAGCGCTGCAGGTCACAGGCGTGTTTAGAGCCACAGGTTGGTGACCGGAGTCTATAAATGCGTTTTGGATCCTGTTTTGCATCTTCTGCTCTGGACTCCCGTGATTTGTACTTGATGTCGTTTTTGTCCATGTCAAACTGACATTGATGCTTTTTCAGAGGAGTTCTGGGCCTCGACTCCGAGGTTTGGCTCAAGCTTCGTTCTCTGAACTGGCGACGCTAAAACATTAAGTATTATGCTAAGTGAAGTATTATGTTAAGTGCAGTGATGTGCATTTAAGCAAATGGGTCTTGTTAACTATTTCCTCCCTTTGGTTCCCTTGTAACGAACCTCCCCTCCCCCTATAAAGAAAGAATTGAACAGTAAAGCATTACGAATTTGGTACCAATTGTCAACAATCCCCCTATTGCAATAGGAGGGGGATTGTTAACCAGATCCAAGCAAATTAGAAAGTTTTAATGAACATCACTGATTAAGTGTTCAAACCACGCAAGATTCGTGACCCCTTGCTTACTCACTTCTCTAAGGCCAGGTCATCTTTCAATCTGAATCAGTTACTGTTCCGACCACAAATTCCGAGTGTTTATAAAACATGGAAAAAAATTAGATGAAAAAAAAACTAAGACAGAATATATTCATGGTTTTGACGAATCGTTCCCATAATAATAACTCAACAATCAACCCAGCATGCAAAATTTGTCTAATTTTGCTACTAATCTTTGTATTCACAGTTGCATTTAGATTAACTAACGATGTCTTGCTTACTTTTTGGTCTAGTTCCAAGTAGCTGCTTCTACTGGTCGAACTATCTCGGATACATGGCGACATTTTTCTTCTACTGTCCCGATTGCTAACCCCACTCCCATCAGCTGAAAAAAAATGAAACATGAGAACATTTCTTGTATTGACGATAAAGAGAAAATGCAAAGATCACAGAGTTTGAAAGAGTTGATAAAAACCTTTAACTGTTTTGGGAGCTCCAAGGGCAACTCTACAACCAAACACTAGAAATCAAAATTTGTTTCAAATATATTCAAGACATTCCAACAATTTCGTTATTGTAAGAAGCGGCTGCCAAAAAAAGACCAAAAAAATCTAGGCATATTAGAAAAAAAACCCAGGGTTTCTTCATCTGAGCCCTTAGTCTGATAACTAACTCTTAATCGGAATCAATTAGTGAGTAAATGAATTCCTGGAATGAGAAAAACACTTTAAAGTCTCGACACTTACATAGACTCTCTATCTACGACTTCCGTGTCTACTTTCGTCAAAGAGCGGTCGCCCAAATCACTGTCGCTGCTGCCCTCCAGGAACGTCAACTTACTCGTAAACACATTACTCCCCTTCTTTCGATTCTGCTGCTGCTCTGTAGAACTCACTGCATTCACAGTGTAGTAATTCATAGCACTATAGGGTCTCTCCTGGTTTAGTTCACCGTAGTTCATGCCTTGGAACTCCCGAGATCTTGGCGTCAATTTTGAACCGTGGACAGGACTACTGACCACCGGGACTGGTCAAAATTTTTAATGAAGGAACTTCACTTACTTGGGTAAATCATATTAAAATGGTTTTAAATATGTTTGCAAATCATTTGTTACATATTACAATATATTGCATTAATAAAAAACGCAAGAGTAATAGAGACTTTTGCTTTGAGAAATCCATCAGCAGAAGGATACTACTCAAAATGATGATTTCATTGCAATTGAGCAACTATTTCACTCACAGAAGTACTGTTCTATTGGCTGAAAAAGAAAAAATGTAGAGAAAAGTATAATTTTTGACCATCCCTGATAGCAGTTTGTGGTCTTTGCGTTGTTTCAGTATTCCCAGCATCACCCCCACTCGAAATCACATCCACAGCAATCGGGCGCTTGAAGTCAATCACGCTGTTTCCCTTCTTGGAATTTCTTCCAGCACTACTGCCGACCAAAAGATCCTTCAACTCACGCCAATTATCTTCTTCTAGTTTCGATTTTAGAGAATTTTTCAGCCTGTAATCGCACGGTTGGTCGAAACTTAGCATGCCTCGATCAAAATTCAAATTCGAATCAGTCCAGATTTGATCGCCGTTTTGACTAGCGCGGTCACTATAAGAACCCGAAATCCTCATTTTACCCATTGAAGAAAACGAGTTCTGCTCCAAATAAGAATTACGATAACTATTATCTCTTGGAGTCGGTTCTTCATTAATTTCGTCACTTTCATTGAGAATTTCTCGCAATACTGAGGCTCTTTTTGATCTTAAATTGGACTTCGGCAATTCTACCATTGGATTTTTACGACCAGTGCTTTCTCCAATATCTGGAAACGTCGGATTGAATGTTCGTCCAGACAGAGCATCGAATTTTTTGTATAGGTCAATTTTTACTGAAATAGGAACATTTTAGTCAACGAAGTGAGAAATTATTAAATATCAGTCTATTCGATGTCAAATCAATAATTGTTTAAAATATTTAATAATAGATATGGATTGCTTTGCTTTATAGTTTTTTAATGAAAATGCTCAAAAATGATTCTCAAATTTCAGTGACGTTATATCACTTAAATTCCTTTAAAATTAAAAAAAAAGTATAAATTTACGGTCATCAAGATAATTTGATTATACGGAATAATAATTACAAATTGTTCCTCACATTGTTGAAACTCGAATCGTCGTCGGTTGAAATTCTCACTCCACGTGAACAACTTCTGCCAGTACACCTCATCGTCCATTTGCTCCATTTTGTCACATAGCATATCAATTTCAGTGGCCAATTGCTTCGATGAGCTCGTCTTACCAGTCGTCGACTTCTTGTTACGTCGGCTACGAGCACTCCTGTCAGACTTCAGCGCAGCAGACATGGTTGCAAGCAGCTTTTCGATTTACATTTAATCTCTGAAATTAATTTTTCCAGGTATTCAATTCTGTTCTTAAACTAAATTTATTAATTTTTTTCTTGCGGCTGGATTTTTTCCAGCAGAACATATTTAAAACTGTCTAACCTCTTTGTTAAAAAATGATAACTCGGAATGATTATATTTACAGACAATCAACTATGTAACTTCAACTGCCTGTGGCACCAATTATATAATTATTTATTTCACTGAATATTAACAAACATTCATCGATCGAAGTAAATTCTGAATCCCATGAAAAACTCTGTCAACTGGTAGCGATTCGTATTTCTGTAACAAATATGTCTCTACTTCGAACTTTTTGCGGGAATTGACCAGTCTGATTTCATTAGAAAGTAAACTACATTTTCATTGCAGCATCTAGCCGCTAATTCTTTGCCTTCTCTGCTATTCGATCGACTCAGGGGTATTACATGTATAACTCTCAAGTTTCTATGTAGCTTAAGTATCCCATGGTTAAGAAGATTTCATGGTTTTTTGTTTTTACTGAAGCAATCGAAAGATTCATTTTCATTATCAGTAGTTCTGCTGGCAGTAGTTTACTTTTTAAGAGTTAAACCAGTTGTGATACAATTTGATTATTTTGAATTATATAAAAACGGTGCAATCATGGTTCCCGAAATGAGATGAAAATTGCTCAACTCTTCACTCATTATCTCAGCGAAAGAGAGATTAGACAGCTAAAGTATTCTACGAATAATACTCGACTGCACTCGAACAACAAGGTCATCGAAACATCTACAAATGTACCGGGGCCTAGGAAATTAGACGACCGTAAGGAGACTGAATTAAAGGACAACCAGTGTTTACTCAGCTGAAAGTTAATTTAAGTCGGTAAACAAGTTTCACGCAATTTGCGCACAAGTTATTGTCCAATATCTGTTATTTTCTGATCGTCTAATTTCCTAAGCCCCAAGTGTACCCGATTCAGTTGCTGTCAGTTGGATCATTCCGTAGCATTCTCATCAAGTTGAAAGGAAACGGAATGACCTCAAAAACGAACGGATTAAAATCGATACCCGACTAATGGAAATCAGAGACCAAATGAATAGACGAGCTGAAAATATCACCAAATCAAACACCCTAATTGAAAACAAATAACTAGAATTAAATGAATGAAAAAAGAATAAATATCGCACAGCTACGTCGAATCAGTAGAACCAGTAAAGCAGGGACTAACATCGCTAATGCGACTCCAGGCAACCTTGGGATTCGTATAGGAGCTAAGCCAGAGTCAATTTTTGGAACCACTGAAGAACGATTTCAAGCCGACATAACAGCAGTAGGAAAAATACTATTTTTCGAGCGCCTACTAAGCCAGCAACACGTGGTAAAATGTCAAATGATCCAAAACAATAATACCAATGGAAATGGTTGTCATAAAAAATTCAACATTTTTTTGGAAATACGATAAATCCGATATCAGAAAAACAGACGAGAAACACAACAACTAGCTTCATGCAAGCTGTCCGTTTTTTTTGCGAGCGTCTACTAAGCCAACAACACGTGGTAAGACGCTAATTGATCCGAAAACAAAACTATCATTAGAAATGCTTGTCATAAAATATTCAACCTTGTTTTGGAAATACGAAAAATTCAATCTCAGAAAAACAGACTAGAAACACAACCACAAGCATTCAACAAGTCTTTAGTATTTTCGAGCGTCCACTAAGCTACAACACGTGGTTGGACGACAACTGATCTGAAAACAAAAACAGCAAAAGAAATGATTTTCATTCAAAATCATTTTTTTTTGGAATTACGAAAACTCCAATCTCAGAAAAACAGACGAGAAACAAAACCACTACCATTAAGCAAGCTTTTAGTATTTATCAATGTTTCGCTAAGCCAACAACACTTGGCTAGACGCCAATTAAAACGAAAACAAATGTCAAAGGAAATTATTGTCATATAAAATTTGTGAGAGCTTTCAACTTTTATACTACCAACCAAGCTGATTTTTTAAAATATGAATAACCATTTTAATCCTTATACCGATGCAAAATAAGTTCACTAAACCGACAAAACAAGAGCCGAGATCATTTACGCCAAACAAAATTTCTAAGCGAAAAAACCCAAGCAAAAACGGCTAATTTACCAACCAGATATAGTAATTTTTAAAATAAGTTATCAACGACACATGAGTTAATCAACGACTTTTGAGACTACAATGAAAACTGATTAAACCCCCCCCCCCCCCAAAAAAAGGTAGGTTGTCAACTAAGCCGACAAACTAAAAGACGACTAATCAACATTTCCAGGTAGAAAATTTCAATTTCAGACACTGAAAAACAAAAAAACAACAAGATCCAGCTGCGATTATGTTTCAAACGCAGCTGCATTACCTCCAGACCAAATACGATGAATGTACGCCTGACTTTTGAATTCAAATGAACCAAAGGTAAAGAGATTTTGTTGAATTTGTTAGCCCGAAAAAGTCTATATTCCGATTTGAATAACGCTTGCTAATTGCAAGCGTAAAAAATTGAAGTGATAGACCAATGAGCGCAAATAGACGCACATACTGCATGCATGTCGTGTACTGCATGCAAGCTGAAAACTGTGAACAAAGTTATTCACGGGGAAAAAATCTAGTACCTGATTGCAATACCCTTGCTCATCGCAAGGGTAAAAACCCAAAGATGGCACCCGATCGTTTTCAGGGCTAAAACACAAATTGAACCCGACTTTACTATCTCAACCTTTTATACTTTAACAATACAATGATTTATGAGCTGGCTTTTGACAGGATAATTCATAATAAAATGACAGTTCTAATGATTGATAATGATGATATGATGATTGTTAAACCAATGATGATATAGTTTTATCTGATTAGAACCATAAATGAAGCCGATGAAGGAAAACGACAAATAGGACATTCATTGCGTAGTTTAAGAGAAGTGTAGAGACAATTCCAGCAGAACACGTGACCACAGGGAATCGCACTAGGCGATTTAACCGCCGAAAGACACAGGGGACAGGCTCGAGTAATTTCCGATTCCGCCTCTTCAAAAGCCTGGTCTGCTGATTCAATTTTCGTTCTTGTCAGATTTCGGCTAAGAATCTTAGCTAAGTATTGTCTCTTTACAGCGACAACACAAGCCATGATTGCTAGTAGACTAAATATCGGCCCTTTCTTTAGAAAGTACAAAGATGAATAATTTCCGTCAATAAGAGCTGATAAAATTATAGGCTTCAAAACGGCTTGAGGAACTTTGAATATCTGAAGGAGGGAGTAATTTTGCAGAGATGATTCTAACAACTTTAAAATCAAGGGTAAAATAAAAAGTAAATTTGATCCGTCAGTTCCCGAAATTTCAGAGCCGATAGATTGGCTATATAATTTTGACCCGGATAAGACAAAACATCCCGAAATGAACTCTGAAATTTTAAGCGACCATCGCTTTTGCTCGTCTGTCATCAGAAACAGATCCAATATTTTTGATATTCTTCCAGTTATTTTGTCGAGAACTTCTTCATTTTTGAACATTCGCAGCAAGTTGAGAGCGAAACACTTTTTGATTGACATTTGCTCAGGCTCCATCTGAAAAATTGCAACTCAATTAACCCAGGAAAATAAACTACCCACAAATTTAGTTTTGATCGAGTAAACTGTGATCCAGTGGATCAATACAAACAGAGATACGTGGTTCCGACCGGGACAATCTAATTAAGCCATTAAACCAAAACTAAAAGGGACTTTTTTGTAAAAGAAATTTGAAAAATATTTTTGTTAAAGCTTTACAGGGTGGTTCGATTAGATGACAGTCTGCTAGAAGGAGTTGAAAGCTAACAATAACGGGCTTTTTTCCTTTTTCGCATCTGTGATTTTTTCAACTAAAATGAATGTTCACATTGTCCGAGTGGTATGAAAATTGACATGCGGACTACTTAGGCCATGGCAAACATATTCAGTCTTCATACTTTTAATCCTGTAAAACCATTCGTTACACCATAAAAGAGAAATTCGTGCAAGTGAGGGGAAGATCCCAATAACGCTATAATGCTGTAGCATTTGAAGTTAAGTTCACTCTCTAACTCATTCATCCATGTTAAATCTGGATATCAAAAAGTTCAGACCCATTTTTCTCGACAGAGGACATTTTCAAACTTGGTTCTCCTATCCGAAACACAGTCAATACGGCTTAAATGCTACAACACCTGGTCCGTCCACAATACAGCGGTTACCATGCATTTATACTTCGAATTAACTCTGCCTATTAACCCTCTACATGGTACAGCGCAGTGTTTTGCTGGTCAAAGGCAGAGAAGTTGCATTACTGTAAACATTGCAGTTGTAAATGTTTCATTCTTTAATGAAAATACAGATTCCAAAACTTTCTACGACCTCTTTGGGCACTTTTTTATTATTTTTTAAAGGCTCGGTTGACAAATTAAAAACCTAGGATCAACTGTGAATCGGAAATAGGACAAAACGGAAGTTTGCAAGCAGAAAAAAAACATATTTTGAGCATAATTTAAGACTTACATCCTCATTAATTACATTTCTGATCATAATTATTAAGCAATGATTGAACAACAAATAATTTTCTCTATTTTGATTTAAAATCGCGTAAGGTCTTTTTCTAAACAATTTTCATTTTGCGAAATTCTAAGAAAAATGCATCACCTCAAGACTTTTTAAATATCCAGAATCTGTTCTGCTTGACTCTTCAGAATTTTATTTGATCCGCTGGAAAACCAAAACATAGCCAACTAACAGTTGGAAAAGAGTAATGAACACAAGGAAACTGAAAAAAAACTTACTTAATTTTTTTTTTCAAGTGCTTTACACTTTTGCTGCAAGACCTATGTAAGAGTACTCACTAGGTTCATTACTCTTAAAAAAATCCGTATATTTTGAAACTTAAAAACAATCACGTTTCTCGCGCCATTTATACTTTAGAATTCAGAGCGTAATCTGTTTTCCGTTTAACTAATAAATTTGAAGCCAACTTGAAGAAATTAAAAGT